ACAGCAGATAATTTAAGGTGGACAGGAATTGATTTAAGGTCTACAGCAGATAATTTAAGGTGGACATGCGAGTACCTCCAGCAGGCCACAGTCACACTCCTCTCCTTTCTCCACGTACAGGTTTCCACAGCGCGGTCCTCCCAGCAGGCGGTCTGGCTGCGGCACGTTGAACAAACACATGCCGCCGCCGTGCAGCAGGCTGATGGACAGATCCGCGGCGCTGCAGCTGCTGAAGAGCTGACCTGGCAGGAACCTGAAGCCAGAGGTGGACAGGTGAGCCACAACACAGAGATCAGATGTTAATCCAATGAGAAGAGTCAGAGTTCAACACGCTGATCTGCTGATCAGGGGTTTCAAAGACGGCTCAGTTCTCCTGCTTTAAGACGTCCTCGTTAGCGCCAGCTAAGCAGACAGAACCCACTGATTAAAGCTGGGTTTATGCTCCATGTTTCTGCACCTCTACCTTGGAATATTGGAACTATGCAGACAGATCTGCATGTAAAAACATGGAGGGAGAGCAACAGCTGACACTGGGGAAGGTTTTATAACGTAAACATCGATAGATTGAACCCAAACATCACTTCTACCAACAGACTGAATAAAAAGTCGTCACTCTCAGACGGGAGGAAGAGGCCACGCAGATGATCAAAGCTGCGGATGTTTGGACAAACGCCGATTTCACGTCTGCCAATCATAACCAAAGCCTCACCTGAGAGGTTTAGTTTCGGTGTTTTAACATCGTTTGTTATTCAGTGGGAATAAAACGTTGCAGAGAACAATAATAACCCTAATAATAATCACTGCGTTATCTAAGGCGGCCATAAGCCAGCGGCGGCGTGGAAAAGTCTGCAGGTCTATTCCCTGATCCAGCAGAACGAGACGTTCAGCGGAGAACGGGCTGTGGAAATGTTCTGCATCCTGATCCTGACCCGGTCGACGGCTCCATGATGCATCCTCCGAGGCGTGGCTCATTTTCACAGGAGCAGCGGCGATCGGCCGTGTCGTGTCTCATCCCCAGGTTGTGTCCGAGCTCGTGGGCGACGGTGGAGGCCACGCCCAGAACGCTGACCAGGTGATCCTGGGAAAGAGACGGGTCATAAAACACGAGGCTGGTTCCGGTCGCCTCCGGCAGCACAGAGCGGGTCTCACCACGTTGACGCCTCCCGATCGGTCCCGGGAACACATGGACGACTGAGACGCCATCCCCACGGTGGTGCCGTCAAAAGAGCCGCCCCTGTTGGGTTCAGACAGAGCAGTCAGACCTGGAACCTTCTGGACGTCCGTCAGACACTTTCTTTGGACTTTGGAGGCTTTTGAAAGGTTTCTGTTGGTTCTGCTGCGTTTTTCTACCATCTTTGCTCTGATTTCAGATCATTGGGATGTTTTTTGGTTCCTGAACCATGTTAGGTCTAGATGTTCCATTCTGCTAAAGCATCAAACAACGAGGATGTTCTCATTTTCAGGGAGACTGAAGACTTTTAAACTAAATATAAATTCATCACTTTGACACAGACTGGCTGTTTCATAGCATCAGTAGATTAACTTTAACTTAGAATAAACAAATCGGCCAATCACTCATTATGAAGTCTATAAATCATCTAATATAACATATTATACAATCCATCACAATAAAATGAATGTGTTAAAGGAGCAGAATAATAGAGATGAGCCAAAAGTGATGCATTCATGATGTAGATGTAATATACATATATTAATTACACATGACTCATTACCTGTGGAACGACGTCCTACAGGCAGAAACCTGCTGGTTTCAGCAGCCTAATGCTTTTGACTGCATGTCTCCGTGGGAGTACCAACATGGCCGACCAGTCAGCAATCCAGTGAATAAACAGAGATCAGTGGGTACACCTCTAGCTTCCTTTCTGTGCGGCTCATGCCTACTTTCATCGTACCGGCGCCACCTAAAGGTTGGAGATTTAGTTTCTCTGCGATTTGAAAATAGCACCTTTCTAAATTGAGATTTTATTAAAAATGTAATTAAAATTAAAAATGTAATAATTAATTAATTTCCCGCTGTAGCTCCAAGATCTGCTGCGGTCCCACTTCCTGCCAGTGGCGTTACGCTACACGATTGGCTGAACGTTGCCACATTAAGTAACACATTGTGGTTGCCCAGACAACGATAATAACAGCTGGTAGCATCTGTAGCGTTAGCGTGTCGAACGACCGATTAAGTTTTACCTGATCGATGACAAAACAAAACAAAAAAATCTGTTTCTGGTACAAAGTAACTGTTAGACACTGATCTAAAGAGGGAGAACTAGGTAGCGCTGTGGCTAGCTGTGCTCACTAGCTAACAGGTTAGCCTCTTTTGGCTCGTCGGTTAGCCACATTAAGCTACACTACTTTTATATTTGTTTCAACAACAACCGTTATCCTTTTTTTTTTTTTTATATTTGCACTTTATTGAAAATATTTTTTCCCATACAAATATATATACCGATTTTACAGTTTATTTTATTTTTCTTTAACCGTTTCTTATTCTACAAGTAGAATAACTGTTAACCTCCTCTGCCCTCAGATCTTATTAAAAAGAATAAAAATAAGTTGAGACGTGTCTCCTTGTTAAATAGCAGAGCTCAGTCTGTCTTTCCTTCCAGACTGACGATGATTGTTTTCTACTTTCAGCTACTTTAGTTCGCTGATAAAATGTAAAATAATAGCAAATATAGGGAACAATATGTTGAGACTCCAGGACAGATTCGATCATTAAGAAACGAAGCAACTGTTTGTCTGAGTGGCGTTGCAATGTGTTGCTGCTATAAGAAGGGGCGGAGCCCCGAGCAGATCCGGCCCTATTCTGGCTGCAGGTCAGAAGCAACCAAAGCCCAAAGAAGCCACTTGGAATCAACGTGAGGAGCTTTTATTTTGGTGAACGTTTACATGATGAGCTGGGCGTTGTCATGGCGAAGGCGCGGCAGCAGCTCTCTGCTCCTCCACTCCAGGAAGTTGTTGAGGGTGTCGGTGGGACTCTTCTCCACCCGGATCTTATCGCGGTCGCTCCAGATCTCCAGGCCGGTCAGCGCCACGCGGACGTTCAGCGGCCGGTAGAACTGGAACAGAAAAACAAGGCGGTTCTGTGGGACTGCCCGGGGGGGCCGGGTCTATAGGGGGGGCTGAGTCTCACCCAGTCCACCTGGTTGGCCACGTCCAGCATGCGGTAGAGGACGGTCTTATTGTTTCTCTGGTAGTTCAGGAACTGTGAGGAGCAAACAGGAGTCAGAGGACCAGCAGGATCCGAACCATCCTGGACCTGAAGGGCAGAACTCGGTCCCTGTATCCCCTCCCAAAGTTCTGGGGTCTCATTTTTAAAGCTTAACTTATCTGAACACACCGACTGACTACGACTTTTTAACCTCTGACCCGATGTTTCTCCATGTCCCTGATTAGGCAGGGTGAGCAGATCTATGCAGATTTGATCACTTCTGTCTCTAAACACAATAAAACTGTTTCCCACATTTCACTGGAACAGATTATGAAAAGTTACAAAATTTAAAAATTCTACCA